AACACTCCCCACCCCCCACCAGAGAGCTGGACACATCCCAACTATATGAGCTAATGATTTTGCTTTGTGCAAACAGGTTCCCCTACAGGGACAGTAACCATGAAAAAAACTCAGCAGGAGCTTTTTCAGATTCTCTACAGCATGGAAAGTCCCTCTTTCTAACAATAAACAATTGCCAACTTCAAAGGATGAGATAAGCAACAGGCTATTGTGGAGTTTGTTCCAGCTAGAACAAAACCTCACTACTGCAAGGTCCAGATCCAAATCTTCATTTCTCCATTCAACTCTAAGAGGAGTGGTTAAATTGTCTGGGACCATATCAGCTGGCCAATGGGCAGGCAGCACAGCCTTTCACATATCCCTGGCAATGTGCACACTGGGACAGCTGGAGCAACCTGCAGTGCAGGGGCGGGGAATAAAAAAAAAAACAGACATAGGAAGAACTAGAGAGATTGCACTAACACCCTCCCCCCCATGCAGGTTAGTTAACTCAAGAGTTTATACTGAGGCTCTGTTTACTTGGCCAACTGAATGACAAAAGTGTTTTAAAAAGCCTTCCCTCCCCAAAAGTGTAAACAGCTCGCTGTCCCCGCAGAAATGGTCTCCTATACACAATGAGAACCTCACAGATGGCGGGGAAGTATTTTGTTGGCAAAAGTCCTGACAAACAGCACTTACACTGCCCAACTTTTAGCTATACAGCCATATCACTAAAAGCTGTGTAGCGTAGACAAAACCTGATAGTCAAGAGCTGAAAAGGGGAGGGAAGGAGGGAATCAGGCAGGTAAAGGAAAACCTGCAGGGTAAGTATTGACTGGTAAATAGAAACTAAGGCAACATAAAACAAAGACCATCAACCTTAAAAAAAAAAAAAAAAAGGGGGCTAGGTGAGGAAGATATTTAAGACGACTGAACTGGACACAAAAGCTTAATGGAAAAACATTATGGAACTTCTATTCATCCAATTGCCAGGGAAGATATAAATGCTCAGCATTCAGCATCTTCCCTTAGACTAAGTAAGTGGCTCTCTTTAAAAAAATAATAAAATAAAATAAACACCACGGTATTTCAGAACATCTGCATTTGTTACTGGTTTCTGAAAGGTACCCAGAATTATCACATACCTGTCAGCTATTCACAGCTTTTAACACCAAGAATGATCAATACAAATCCCCAACCTGACAAATTAAATCACAATCTCCGTCTCCATCTTCTGTGGAGGATTTCTCTTAAGGACAAAAAAATGTACTAATGGCCCAAATACAGGACTAGAAACAGGCATTCATTTAGCGTTTAGGCTGTGTCTATACTTGCTCAACAAAACTTTTTGGTTCATGGGTACCCACTCAGGAACTACAAAGTTTTGTCGGGACAACTGCACATGGGAATGTTGTTTTGTTGGCAGGAACACTCTCCTGCTGACAAAGCAAAACTTAACCTTCCCGTTAAGGGTGGAAGTCTTTTGTCAGCAAAAGTGCCAACAAACAGCGTTTATGCATGCTTTTAGTAGACACAATCTTCTCATTAAAAGCTGCGTAGTGTAGACATGCCTTCTCTGCTTCAGTTTTCTGATCTTACGGAAGTTAGGATTTCCATCTTTAGAATTTAAAATAGCATTTAAGTTGTAGGCTTGAATAACAAATTCAGTAACAGAATTACTACAACAAGCTAGTCTAGTTTGCTGTAATATAGGGTTTCAGATCTTTGCACATCAGACACTTCACTATACAATTAATAACTTTTTGTCTCTGAGTCTCCCCACTACCCTACTGTCCCCTGCATTCAATATCTTATGCATACTAAATATTAGTGGGCAAGAGGTCCTAAATTACTAGATTTGCTAAATGCTAACTAGCTTAGCTGAAAATATATTAAAGCCTGCCTCCTACTGTGTTAGTGGAAGCTGCCGTTTTGCTTGAGTTGTAGTTTGTATGCAGCATTTTTACCTAAATATGGATTGTTAGTGTTACATGTGTCCAACAAGATACTAAATAGAAACAAACAAGCTCTAATATGGATTGGCAGATCAAATTCCATGTCACTTCGCTAAGAGACTGTAGGGTAACACACACCAGAAACTGTAGCTCCTGTGCTGGATCTGGTATCACTGAAAAGCCTGATCACCACAAAAGAGGATTTGAAAAATGACACTGGCTTGGCTTTGTCCATCCAGGTTTACAAAAAAAAAAAAAAAAAAAAAAAAAAAAAAATGCAGAAAACTCACTGCCACTACAAGATTCCAGTAGCATAAAGCCCTTTCAAAAACACCAGTACATCTAAGAGCTAGAAGGTGATGTTGAAGACATGGTGCAAATCTATACTAATAATCCCCGGCTGCTAGATGAAGAGTTGGGTCCCCCTCATTTCTTGTTTTTCTTAGAGAGCCTGGAAGGCAAAACCCAAGAATTCCATCAGAGCAGGGGGCTGTGGTGCCTGGAGAGGCTGGCAGGATGCTGCTGGGGAGGAGTCCTAGTGTGAGAGGTGGCAACCAAAGTGTTCTGATGGGGAGACTGCTTGGCTTTGGTAGATGGAGCCTGCCTAAAGTAATAGTGTAACTGATGGAGACTAGTGGGCTCCTTTAGGCACTCTTTTTCTTTGCACCAGTGGCACTGTTTGAGGAGGTGCCGCTGCAATAGCTGTCACTCCCGCAGCCTGCTCCACTAATTGCCTTTGGAATATAGCCATGGTCCTTCCTACTCCACCTTCTCCTTGTTGGCCGACAGCGTAGAGTTTAAAGCATTAAAAGGTAGGCGACAATGCTGTTGGAATGGCTTCACCTTCCTTCTCCTGTCTGCAGAGTGGGGCACTTGGGATATGTAAACCATAGGGATACCCTCTGCTTCCACAGCCAGGAAGGAAGTGGGATTGCAACTGCCGTGTAGAATGATTAACAGTATGTTCTGTTTAGCCTTCCTCTGCCACTGTGAAGCTTGGGGCACAGACCACACTGATAGACAATAAACAGCATGGCTCCTGAGAGAGCTGCTGGATGCATGGGAGGCAGCCAGGGCTGGGGAGAGCCTTCACTGTTTCCATTTTCCTAGCCAACATGCAGGTCCTGGTCTGAATGGTTGGAGGAGGCAGGGTTTCCTTCAACCTTACCTGGGAGCAGGTAGTTTTTTCAGGGGAAAACAAATGTTTGACAACTATGACTGAGGTAGGGAGCTCTAGTCCTGAAATACGTTTGCTCCCATACTTTCTGTAGTTAACTGTTCACCTTGAAGAGGCTCTCTAAGGGGAGACTTTTTCTTGCTACTCCTTCTATTTCCTTGCTATTCCTAAGGAAACAGGACCATGAGAGGGCAAAATGTATAGGAGTTATTTATGACAGCCAAGTCTGAGAAGACCATGAGGAACTTCAGAATTGAATGGACAACATGATAGCAGATAAAATTCTATGTTGTTTAATAGCAAATTAAAGCACACTAGCGTGAAAATTCAAATACTCATAATACTTCTAAATTAACCGCATCAACTCAAGAAAAGGACCTAGGCATCAGTGTATACAGTTAAGTGGAGATCTCTGCTCAATAGACAGCTGCAGTCAAAATGCAGATGAGACACCAGTATGAGTGTGATAGAGAACACAGAAAACATATAAATCAACAGTGAGTTCTTGCCCATAATTTCAGACATGGATCTGGTCATCGCATTTCCAAAAGCATGGTGCAGAATTAGACCAATTTATAGTGTGGCACAAAACAATGAGAAGCATGGAAAAACTCTGATGAGAGACTGGTATTGAGAAGAGAGATGACAAGGGAACAAGTACATAAAATAAATGGTATAAATATTGTAAAGGGAGAGAGTCTGTTCTCCCTGTCTCATAATATAAAAACAAAGGAGAGAGATTCAAAACCCCAAATCTTCACAGTTGGTACAGAAAGAGACAATACTTGGCTAGGATTGGATATGGCAGCATATGCACGTGCTGGAGAGGGCCCTGGCTCCCTTTTTTCAGTTCAGCCAAGGTATCCGAGAAGAAGCTGGGAGCATGTAGGACTGAGGTCCCATAGGCCACTGATTGCCCAAACAAGCTGCAGTAGCTGCTTTATGTACAGATGTATGGTGAAGGAGTCCTACACCTCTGAGGCTGGTTTCTTACTTTTAGCAGTCTGCCTAATGAATATAGGAAAAAACAAATGGTCTGGTAGCACTTTATAAACTAACAAAACATGTAAATGAATATAGGTTTTCTAACTTAGTGAAGCTTAAGAGATGGCCAGACACATCTATAGAGGTGACACACCATGCAGGGAGTGAGAAGGTGAGCCTGCTCTCTGGCCACTTAGATGCTAAGTACTCCCCCAAGAGAAGCTGATTGGGGGCAATTATCTGATCTGTTTGGTGAAGTGAGAACTCAGTAGGCCTCCTCCAACTAGGGATGATACAATATGTACAAGAAGGAAATACGGGCGAGAGGAGAAGGAACAGGGCTAGTCATGCAGAGGCTCAGAGTGGGGAGACCTTTGCTCCCCTCACGTGCTGCTGAGGGAGCTAAAGATCGACTAATGTTGTAAATAGGGACTGAGGTGATCTTGGTAACAGGGAATTGAAAGTTTCACTGAGAGTAAACCTCGTTGAATCCCTGAGGTTTCTGGAGTAAAGAGGACAGGGCCACAGCCAGGGTCCTGTTGTAAGGGGATATTCTGTCTCCATCTGTAGACTGGAATAAACTATAAATCAGAACTTCTGGACTGGTACAGAAGATCATAGAGGATGTTTCCCTTGGTGAAGCTTCCTGAATATAGATATTTTCACCTAAAATATTTTCAAAAGATAAGTGCATTTGCACCCCACACAAAAGAATACCCACTTTCAATTTCTAACTCCAATTTCTATACTGGGAACATGATAGAATTTCCACAAATAGGCTTAGCACAGTATGGGGAAAGGTACAATATATGGTCTGCCCTCAGCTGTTCATAGTAGGCTTTAGATTTTTACTGCATTGTAACTCCTCAGTATTTAATATAGAGGCTAATTAATAAAATGCCTACCTGTACCGCTCCTCTTGTAGAGCCTGCATTATGAACGAATAATCCCTCTGATAGTGAGCCTTAAGATTCTCAAAGGATTCTTCCAGTCTTGCCTGTGTCTCTCGTATCTCTTGAATCTCATGTAGTATTGCATCAAACCCTGAGCTCTGCATATCCAGAGTGTTTGTTTTGGAGCTAGAAGCTCCCACTGGACCCCCTGTGGTGCTATTAGCTCCCACTGAACCAGATGTGGCACTCGAACAGTCCTCCTCACTGCCATATTTTGGGCTTGACTGAAAGTTATGAATAACACCTAAAGTCTTTCCATCTTCTTGGACTTCTTCCAAAGAGTCCTTCAGATTAGCAATATTGTCCGCACTTCCAAATTTGTTCCTTATCAAGGAGGCTATCTCCCGGGGTTTGGAGACCACAGCCCCTGCTGCCGAATGTGTGGCTTGGGAGAAACTGGAAAGCCCACCTTTAACACTGTCTACAACTCCTTCACTAAAGCCAGTGACCTTTGCTCCCACATCCTTCAAGCCCTGGTGCATATCCCTGAAGACATCTTTTGGCTGCCGAGGGATTCCATTTTGTTCAACCTCACGAAGCTTTCGGTGGTAGTGCTCCAACTTCTTCTGCAGCTGCAAAATAGTCTGGGCTGATTTCTGGTTCTTCTTCTCAAACACTTGCTTTATGCGGGCACTCTGCTGTTTGTCAGCATTGTTGGCTAGTTTCAGGTATTCTGCCACATTGTCATCCCGGGCTGTTTGCTCAATTTTGATCTGCTCTGTCAACTTCAGTATCTTCTGCTGCAGGTGTGTGATGGCCACTTTTGTCCGCTGAGGATCTGGAGTCCCATCAACAGAGTCTGCGTTAATGCTGCCATCAATGCTTGAGGCCACTGCGCTAGGAGTTTGTGCTAGGCTGCTTACTTCCGACCGCTCGATCTAGACAAAAGGGGAAAGAATATGAAGGTTAAAAACCATTGGCAGTTGAAATTAAAAAACCATCCACTTCACTGGGAAGTCAATGGTCATAATCTTTCCAATATGTTCAAAACTAAAAACTTTTCTTAGTGAATCATGGATACTACACTAAGAAGGCTACATAAAATTACTCTCTACTTTCATTCAAAAACAGTAATTTCTATCTTGTCACCCACATCTCATTTTTCCATTTCCCTTTAATTCCCAATCTATAATGCAAGAAGAGCATCTGTGAGCCCTACATATTTCATGGGCATCTTAAAAGTTAACCTCAGTCAACAGTGCTAAAAAACGATGTAGCCTTCAATAAGCCAGCTGCTTAAGGAGAATATTTTTGGGAGGTAAAAGTTTAACTGATAAGAGGATGCTTATTGGTATTTGTTAATAGTTAAACTGCTAGGGTCTAGAGAGAGGACTTGGCAGCCAAGACCCTGCCAGTAGCCAAGAGCTTGCAGCATGGGGCTGGCAGCTGGAACCCCATGGCGTAAGGCTGGTAACTGGAACCCCACCAACGGCAGAGCCCATGGCACAGGGCTAGCAGTCAGGACCCCTGAATTGGGGGGGGAGGGGGAGGGACTTATACAGCAATCTTCCCTCCTTACTCCAGCATCCCCAGGTAAAACGTTTAACTGTGTAACCAATGGAATTTTGATCAATTGAACAGTTACAGGTTTTGTACAATGGACAGCCAAATATGTTATAATGTAAGCTAATTTACAGAAGCATCAGAGCTTTGAGTCTAGTCCCATTTTCAAAAGCGACATGTATTTAGGAGGCTAAGTTTTGTTCTTAGGTGCCTAAATCATTTCTGAAAATGAGACTAGGCTCTTAACTCTTTGTATCTTTTGAAATTTTGCCTCGTATCCTTCAGATTGCCTATTAAGAGTAAACTATATTTCTGTACATAAAAATCTGATGATTCTTAGACAATATGACTTTTGAATCCTACAGGCAAGTTTAACACCCGTGAACAAGCGTTTTGATTTAACCTTAAGTGTTCACACCCCCGGGCTTTGCAGAGGTGACAAAGTATGGAACCAGTCACTGATTTTATCCCTGTGAGGAAGCAATGTAAGTTAGTTCAGAAAGCAGACATATACTGATCTACTTTGGCAACGTGTAAAATAATTAAGAGTGTTTTTCACATTTAGTTTCCTAATAAAGTGGAAAATACTGAACCATTAGAGTTGAAAATCCCATTAGATTTTGCACTCCCTGCCCTCCAACCCACAAGTACAATGTGCTGTCTCTCATCTAGCCTACCTTTGCTTTTCTGGCACGCAATAACTTTTCCCAGTGCATTGCTTCCACAAAGAAGAGGTAACATGCCTACAACAGCTCTGCTAAAAGCCAAGCTCTTGTTCTGATCTGACTCCAGCAAAACTAATCAACTGTTTGAAGGAAGGGCTCACTACCTGAAACCATGAATCATATAATTACTCAGTAACTCCTCCCATTCCAGGGGATAGGCACTATCCCAACACAAGGCTTGCCAGTGAGTAAAATAAAAACATGACATCATCCAAGCTATGAAAAAATTAAAGGGACAGCTCATTTTTACAGCAAAGTAAAGAATTAATGCAAGTCTGCACATGGATGGGTAACATCCAAAACCATGAATTTCCATCTTACCCACTAGAATTAGTTGTGTAATTATAGAAGAGAAATCCAATTTTCAGACAAAGCAGCAACTATGAGCTAGGTTGCATGGAGTAAAAAATGCTAGTGTTGTAGACAATGCAAAAGTTGCTCTTTTTCTATGCTGTAAAACAAGAGCCATATAAGACAAATGGCAATGACTGCCACCCTGCTGCAAAAATTATTTAATTCTGATAAGAGCAGTATTAATTTAGCACTGCTGAAAGGAAGGATGCAGAACACCAGCATAAAACAAGTTACACAAAGTTTAATTTAATTAGGACTACTATTTTTTGTTGCTTCTGATGACAGAAGTTGGCCCAAACTCCTGGCGGGAAGTTTATTTTTTTAAAACCCATTACACCGTCTAGGAAATACCCATCAATGAGCACGGCAATTATAAGCCTCAGCTTTCCAGACAATTCTTATCCTGCATAGCATTCAATACATTTCCTCCATCACAGTGAAGAAACAGTGGAGAATGACACTCAAACAATGTAGCTTTCAACAACTCTCTTTCCTTGGAAGGCCAATGTTTTTTCCTCAGAAGTCCCTGGGGCTGTGTATTTCAGGAACCCTGGTTACTAGGTAAAATGCAACTCCTGCTCTGTCCTGAGAGTTGACTGCTTTCTTTATGCCAGAGGGATCTTTATGCCAGAGGGCTATTTCTTTCTCATTGCTCTCACTGTAATCTGTCCAGTGGTCTGTGCCTAGAATGTATTAACTTACTCGCCACATATTTCTATTAAAGTTTATCATCTGAACACAAGGAAATGGTGGGATGTAAAGAAACAAACATCCATGAATAAAATGAAAGTTCAAAAAAAGAACAGACAATATTTTTGCAAGAGTGAATTGCTCTAAGAGTTGTCATTGTTAACACAGCATTCCCTAACTGGCCTGTCCGTCATTAATAACTAACCTCTACTTGTAAAGCATTCTGAAGATTAAAAGTGCTACATAACATTAATTAAATGGCACTTTCCTCAGACTGATAGGCAGTTTGACTCTCCCCCCCCCCCTTTTTTTTTTTTGAGATGGGGATGCTGAGCCTGCAGTTAAGTGGCTCAGGGCTAAGCAATAAAACCATCCTATTCCCTTCATCTCCAGCATTTGTATAAAATGAGGCAAACTGTGGCAACTCATCTATTTAAAACAATGCTACTCCCCCTTAACATTCTTCACACTTTGTTGTACAATCTGCAGCAAAGGAAAACAATGAAAAGCTCAATTCACTTTTTGTTTCTAAAATTTTTCACCACCAGTTTCTTATGCACTAGTGGCTGTGTCTGGGTTGCAAATATTAAAGGGGAATGTTTATCCTACTGGACTAAAGCTGCATAAAAAATAAACCTGCGTTTTGGGCTTCATTTGACCTTTAAAACTCTACGTAAACTGATTGTTAGATTTGCAAAGCATATATTACAAACATAATGATGCTTCCTGGAACTAGCCTACTGTCTTAAAACACTTGCTAGCACCCTTGATTAGTCTTATGAATTGGATTAAAATAATTAGCTAATCTCAATCCCTAAACATAACAGAAAACATTCCTGCCTTCATTTTAAAAACATGCACTTTGTCAAGCACCAAAAAAACCTAAAACAGAACAAAAAATACTATTAGAATAAAGCTTCAGACATATATTAAACATAATGGAGGGAGTTAAATCTACTTCTGACACAATGCAGTATACATACAGTAAGTTTAAATACCCTCCATTGCTTATTACTACACACAATCTCGTGTAACATTTGGAAGCCAAATTGTTTGAAGTTTCGTTTCTATGTTCTAAAGGAGTCTGGTTGCTGGGAACCTAGGATTATTCTTCTTCAGTTCAGGATGACTGTGGAAACAGCTGTTGACTGAAGCCGCCTTAGGCCACATCTTCACTAAACAGAAGATCAATGTTTAGCGAAGACATGAACTAAGATTAACGTAGCTGGAGTTGTGTATCTTGATTCGAGCTTTCCCCTTTAGTTTAGACCTGGCTTTAATGATAACAACTGTAGGTAATAAAGAAGGGATACTGGTAAAAAAGGGATTTCTAGGCAGTACCAAGAGTTAATATTAATCATACAGGCTTACATGTATTTTGGAGCAATATGAAATTAAGTTTCACTACTTGGAATTCACGATTTTCACCAATCTTTTCTTAGGACAGTAGCTCTGATATCCGATTACCTCATCAAGCCTTATATTTAACAAAGATCTTGTGTGGGATTCTCAACTGAGTTACATACTTTATGTGCAGTTGTAGTTCAGTTTGCAACTTTTCACCTGACATCCTTACAGCCACCACACAGCCATGTTTACTCAGGACCTTATCATTCCTCTCAAATTCTTTATACAGCAGCTTTGCAGCTCCAGTGAGAGGAGTCTTGTTAAACTGTCCACAAACATTTACCACTACTGCTGGAGTAGGGAAACTAATACCAACTATGGTGAAAATGAAAAACTGAAAACTAAAGCAAAATTCCCAGAAATAATGGTTTCAAAAGAATTCAATTTCTTCCATAAATCAAGAGCATAAGGTGCTAAAAGTGAGTGGTTGTGGAATCTATGCAGAACATACACAAATCTGTAAAGAGCACATAATGATGCAAACCAATTTCTCTTCAAGCTGAGTTTTTATTATAACCATAACATTTTACACAATTCTATGCAATGAAACAATATGGGATGTGAAACAATATGGGATGTGAAAGAAAGAGTTACTCACCTTGTGCAGTAACGGTAGTTCTTCGAGATGTGTCCCCGTGGGTGCTCCACTCTGGGTGCTGGTGCGTCATCGTGCTGGCGACCGGAGACTTTTCTAGCTGTTTCTGCCGCGGCACGCAGGCGCCCTCTAGTGTCGTTGGAACTGAAGGGGCGCGCGGCTCCTCTGTTCCTTCTCTACCCGCTAGAGTATGAGGCTCCAAGCAGGGGAAAGAGGGAGGGTAGTGGAGCACCCACGGGGACACATCTCGAAGAACTACCGTTACTGCACAAGGTGAGTAACTCTTTCTTTCACATCCCATATTGTTTCACATCCCATATTGTTTCATTGCATAGAATTGTGTAAAATGTTATGGTTATAATAAAAACTCAGCTTGAAGAGAAATTGGTTTGCATCATTATGTGCTCTTTACAGATTTGTGTATGTTCTGCATAGATTGGACCAGATAGCAGCATTGCAGATGTCCTGCAGTGGAACGTTATGAAGAAAGGCGGTCGTGGAAGCTACCGCCCTAGTGGAATGAGCTGTGATAGCTCCAGGTAAGTCCTTGCCATATAGGGTATAACAAGTTTTAATGCAGGATGTAATCCATTTAGAGATTCTT